GGATTGCACTTTGATTACCACAATGTAACACAAAATTCTCTTAAACTAGGCCAAGTTCATGTAAGAACTTCTTCATCCATAACAACTCTTTGCCCCCTTCAATAAGAGCAATATATTCAACCTCTATAGTAGATAATGCAATATATTTTTGCAACCTTGATTGTCATGAGACTGTTCCCCCTGTAAACTTTATCAATTATCATGATGTGGACTTTCTAAAATCAACATCACCAGTTATACCTACATTTGTGTATCCATCCAACACAGGTTTATTATTGCCAAAACATAAGCTAAAACTAAAGGTACCTTTGAGATATATGAGTATCCATTTTACTGCTGATTAGTGTTCTTTACTAGGATTTGAGTGGAACCGACTAACCACACCAACTGCATGAGCTATATCTAGCCTTATGCAAATTATGACATACATCAAGCTACCAACTGCGAATGCATAAGGAACGTTTTTCATCTCATATTTTTCTTCATCACTTGAAGGACATTGCTTATAACTTAGTTTAAAGTGGCTTGTAAGTGGAGAACAAACAGGATTGGAGTTGTTCATGTTAAATCTATCAAGTACAACTCAGATTGAAGACATCTTAACCACAAGTGAAAAAATTCCTTCAAAATCAATACCCTTTTTCTGACTGAAACCTTTCATAACCAATCTTGCCTTGTACCTTGGCTGCGAATAATGCTTATCAATTTTCAACTTGAACACCCATTCGTTTTTGAGTGCTCTTTTACCTTTAGGAAGCTTCACTAACTCAAAAATATGGTTTTTATGTAAGGATTTTATCTCTTATTGCATTGTTTTCAACCACTCACTTTTCTTATCATGTGACATAGCTTCATCAAAGTATTTTGGTTCTCCCCTATTAGTAATTAATACATACTCATGAGGAGAATATTTTGTGGAAGGTTAGCGAGGTCTAGTTGACCTTCTCAATTGTGGCTAATCTGGAGCTTCTTATATAACCTGTTCAGGAATAACATCAATATCATCATTAGTTGATTCAGGATCACCAACTAATGGCTCAATAAAAAAACCATCATTATCATCATTTTATAAATCTCCCTCCTGATTAATAGGCATCAAGGGTAATTATGGAGTAGGTCTTGGATTTGAATTAGATGGAATAAAAATAGTAGACTTTATTTTCTCCTTCTGTTTAAAGTGTTCAATGGTTTGATCTTCAAAGAAGATAACATCTCTACTTCTAATAATTTTCTTCTCCTTTGGATCCCACAACCCATGGTCAAACTCATCATCTTTGGAGCCCAAGAAAATACATTATTTTATCTTGCTTTCAAGTTTAAACCTTTTATTTTTGGGAACATGTACAAATATTATGCATCTAAACAATCTCAATTGTGCATAAAAGACATCATTTCCTTTCCAAACTCTATTTTGAACATCAAAATCAAGAGGAACTAATAGAGAAAGGTTGATCATAGTAATTGCAGTCTTCATTGCCTCACACCAAAAGGATTTAGGCAGCTTTACATGAGAGAGCATACATATAATTCTTTCAACAATGGTTCTGTTCTTTCTCTCGGCCACTCTATTCTGCTGTGGAGTCTTAAGAACTGTATTCTCCAACTTGATACCTTGTTCCTTGCAATACTTCTCAAAAGGACCCCTATATTCACCATCATTGTCAGCTCGAATACATTTCAGTTTTCTACTAGTTTCTCTTTCAACTCTGACATGAAAATCTTTAAAGACATCAAGCACCTAATCTTTGGATTTCAAACAAGTGGTCCAAATTTTCATGGAGTGATCATCAATAAAACTAACAAAGTACAATGCACCTCTAAGAGACTTATCAATCATAGAGCAAATATCAGTATGAACTAAATCAAGAACATGTGATCTTCTATGTGAAGGTGATCCTTAAAATACAACTCTATGTTGTTTACTAGTTAAACAATGAGTATATGTGTTCAAGTTCATACCTTTTAATGAAAGGTAGTTCTTCTTGGCTAGGATGTTAAGGCCTTTCTCACTCAAATATCCAAGTTGTTTATACCATAAATCAGTAGAGCAATCTTTAATTGCATTTACCTTCCCTTTTATCACCTTAGCTTGTGACATCTAAAGACTCATCTTCTTCCCTTTAGCAACAATTAAAGAATTTCTAGAGAGCTTTCATTTACAATCTCTAAAGTAATTGTGATAACCTTTTTCATCAAGAGTACCTGTAGAAATTAAGTGTATGCACATATCAGGTACATGCCTCACATTTTTAAGTAGCAACTTACACCGAGTATTAGTTTCCAACCAAATATCTCCAATGCCTACAATACTAGCCATCCCTTGATTTTCCATCCTAACTTGACCATAATTACCAGTAGTGTAGGATGTGTAAAAATCATGTTGGGGTGTCATATAATAAGAAGTTGTTGAATCTGTAACCCATGTGGTATCTTGACATGCAAGATTAACACAACCATTATCATAAATAATGAAAACATCACTGTTAAATACAACTGCAGCTATATCATTCTCTTTATTCTTATCTTCATCTTTTCCCTTTTTTATCTCTTTTATGCTTTTTACAGTCTTTTTGAATATGACTTGGCTTGTCATAATAATAATACTTAAAATCCTTCCTTGATTGAGATTTTCCTCTTGACTTCCATTTGCCTTTTTTATTGCTGGATTCTCTATCTTACTTGCCATGAGAGAACCTACTTTGACTTCTCCCTTGACTTTTTATAACAAGTGCATGATACTCGAAAGTGCTTGTCCCTTTCCCTTTCTTCTCTTCATTGAGGATACTATCATTCATTTTCTTCAAAGTAATATTTCCATTCGAAGTAGAATTACTAAGTGACACTACCAAAGCCTTTTAATTATCCGGCAATGAACTCAATAAGATTAGTACTTGCATCTCATCGGCTAACTCAAGATTCATCAATGGAAGCTAATTCAAGAACCCTTGAAATTTATTTATATGCACTGAAGCATCTTCATCATCTTCATCATCTTTGTACTTCAAATTTAAAAGGTTTATAATTACAAAAACCTTGTTTTGTGCACTCTTTTTAGCAAAGGTTTCTTCCAACATCTTCCAAACTGTATAGTAGTCATGTTCTTGAGAAATATGATAGACTTAAAAGATACCCATTTTCTAACATAAGCACTCGCTCTTCTATTAAGCTCATTATATTTTACCTCATCCATCTCATCAAGTTTTATTCATTTACACTCAAGCAGCAATGTCAGATCATTGCAATATAAGTGATCCTCCATCATTGTTTTTCATAGAAAATAATAAGAGGAAGTGGGCTTTATCATGCTCGAATCTTTCTTTTCCATTTTAACTACACAAGAAATTCAATATACACAACCAGTGCTCTGATACCACTTTGTTGGGAAAACTATGAATAAATAACCGGACACCAATCTAGTCGAATCAATTGACAATTCACAAGTTCTAATTATTTTCCCTCTTTGCGCAATCAAAATCAGGATCAAACAATCAATAAATATGATGTAACAATCACACAAATCAACATTAAGATTTTTACGTGGAAAACTCGATGCTGAAAAAACCATGGGACTGTAGTTCAAAAAAAACTTTCACTATCAATAAATGATGGGTTCATAATTGTTCTTTCTCATATTCAACTAAGGGATACAACATATATATTATTAAGAACAACCTATTCTTGGCATAAAACAAGATTAAAGGAGCATTTAAGAAAAACTCACAATATTGACAGCCCTGTCTTCTGTCAAAACGGCCAACTTTTACACAATCAATCTTCGATCCAACCATTCAAAATGAAAAGTAGCGTATCTAGAAGCTGTTGTCCAAAACTCAGCCCAATCTAATAGTAAACGAGCTGAAAATTGAAGAAAAAAGACAGATTATTCTACTACCTCTTCTTCCTTTCTTTCTCCCATGCTCTCTGTTATATTTGCTCTAATTAATTCACTATAGCCGCTACATTAAATATTAGGTTTTTAATTTCAAGAGATAACCATGTTATCTATTGACAGTTAATATAGTGGTCTCACCATTATATGACGTGAAACCACATACAACAAGTGAAGATAGAGCTATTGGATGGTCTATGTGTGAAACCACATACAACAATTTGTTCAGTGAAGATAGAGCTATTGGATGGTCTATGGTTCCCAAATTATTGAAATCCAGGCGTGTTCCATACGACGGGCAAGTTGATGCCAATGAAATGAAGAAGATGAATGATGGATTGATTGGTCTAAATGGAAAGATTTTCAGCCATTTTTAAATAAAGATTCTGCCCTTTTCTTTTTAAATGATGAGAGAACCAACAGGATTTCCAACAATTTATAGAAAAGCCATACCAGCCCTGAAAAATTCATGAAACTGAGACAGACAAAAGAGGCGCACATCCCTGTCATGCAAAAACAGTTTTCTATCTCTTTGTCTATTGTTTAAAAATAATAATAGTGAAGTGTTCACGTGTCAGAGATAGCTAGAGTATTAACGAGAGGGAAGGCTTTATTTGAGATGAACCAATCCACTTACACTGTGTATTATAGATACAGCTTAGCGAATTTCTATGAGAGAAATTGTACAAATGGACAGCTGATAGAGGAAAACATTGACCACTACGAGGAAGTTACTTGTGTACTAGTGATTGAGAATGTTCAGCAGAGAAACTCTGGTTTTCACTAGTAGTCTGTATACACATTCGTACTCGCTTATGCTTCTTGAATACTCCAATGTAATGCCTCCAAACTTTTCGATGCATTTTGGACTTGTGCAGGAGTAATGTCTTGGCATCAACTACACGTTTGGACTTCTTTAGTTTTGAAACAACAGACCAGCTGCCTCTCCCCTTTGATTTTGTTGTCAAAGAAATAGAAGATAAGAGGGATGCGAACACAGCAACACTCATTTCTTCAGCTTCTTTTGTCAGAGCTACCAAGGTGGTGTCTTTGTCCAAGGTTGCTGATATGCCCTTCTTCTCCATTCCCTTCAAGTTTCTATATGACTTCGAGATCTGTAGCTTCACTTATTTTCTAGAGATCATACATGCTTCAACGTGACTTGCCAAACGAGATTCTCCTCTTTTTTCTCAGAATAGATGATTCAAGCTCCTTTAAGCATTGTTTCGTCTGTGAAAAAATATAATTTGTTGCTCCACAAGCATCTAACAACCTGAGAGATCAATCCAATACCTCATCTGCTAACTCTTGAAACTCTTCATTTGAGAGAGCTTGATGAGTGAGTGGCAATCGAAGCAAATCATCGACACACTGGGACAAACTTTTGAGGCACTCAATTTTGGGCAGGTTGATGAGGATGTTTCTTGTGATGATCTCAATCTTTCCAGCTGCAACTTCACACTATGAGCTAGGAATGGGATTCTGAAGGCAAGCCGATGGAGCGAGCATGATAAGTAGCTTGAGAGGTTCCGATAAAGACATCCATCTTCCACTTTAATTAGCAGAACAAAGCCTCCACCGATGGGATATAAGTTCGAATTTCCGAGTTGTTCCAGCCAACCCCACATGCACCCGTTGCACCCGTTATATACAGAACACAGAGTAGAGATTCAACGTCCACTCCTTCCAGGCTCCCTTTGCTGTCATGTGTTGCATTTTACAACAGCAGCCGGCTCTCTATCCTCATCGCTATAGTTCAAGTTATGTACCGCCACTAAGGTAATCCTAAAAAATTATCCTCTCTATCCTCATTGCTGTCAATGATATGCAAAAAAAATCATTTATTCAAATCTCTGACAAAACTGTTTCCTGCTTCATTGTCATGACACCCTTGACGAGGATATCAATCAAATAAAATATATATGCACACAAGTGGATTGCACCCATGTCTACACACACATATTTATTCTGCTCGAGCTTCCATACATGAGGCTCGGAAATAGCTCCTGTTGATATACTTCTGAGGAGCAACTGGAATCTTGACAGCCTATAATAAACCATGAAATGTATTTGTTATGAAGCACTTATGTGATAACTACAAGATGGTTGACAAGTACTGGTCAAGCAAGATCCACCTATTTGCTCCACGTGTTCTTCTTTAATCAAGTTTGTACAGGTTAATTATTCAAGCTGAAACCCTGTTGTAGAGCAGCATGTCAAGGAAGCAGGAAACAACTTTGTCAGACTTGTATTATGTTATCAATAATTTGATTACCATAGCGTTTTAATATCATCGTTATGAACAGCTCCCAAAACATTATTGCGAGATTAAGATCTGAGCATTTCACATGATGAGATTCCAGCTAAATTATTCATATGATGTGATGACCATATTTCTGTGTGGGTTACAAGGAGGCATGATATTATTGTTTGAAAAATTATAATCAGTTGAGATTATATTATTAGCATGATGCTTCCTGAACTACAACAATGATGAGAGAAAGTTGGTATTGTCAGGAAACTTGCCACATGACAGCGAAAGCAAGTCGGGATGCATGCATTCCTATTGTTATTACCTATTCTATATATAATAGGCCCAGAAGAGGTTTCTTGAACAACTCCCAGGATCAATTGTATCAGCATTAGAGACTAGCTTTTTTCTGATAAAGGATTAATATGGCTACTAGTCATGTTCGCTCGATCAGCTTGCCCTCCAGATCTCATCCTCTGAATGTAAGTGTTGAAGATCAATTGGAGAGGTTGAGATCACAAACAACTTCCACTTCTGCTTACCACAAATTGAGTGGCCTCAAAGTTTTGTACGAGTGTGTTGATGATTTTCTTCAACTGCCTCTATTCCAACAAACCCTCTCCAACGAACAACACAAAGAAGGGGCAGAAGAGGTGTTGAATGGATCTTTTCTCTTGTTGGATGTGTGCAGTACCACCAGGGATGCTTTTTCCTCAATGAAGGAATGCTTGCAGCAACTTGAATCATCCCTCAGAAGAAGAAAAGGCGGAGAATCTGGTTTGGCAACTGAAGTTGAAGCCTATATGGTTTCTAGAAAACAAATTAATAAAACAATCCGCAAATGCTTCAGAAATTTGAAGAGCGTGGCAAAGAAAAACACTTCAGCAGTAGATGCTGTCGGCATGCTAAGAGAAGTTAAAGAAATAAGCCTTGAAATTTTCCTATCTCTCTTGTCCTTGGTTTCTCAGCCAAAGGCAAGATCAAGCTCCTATGGCTGGCCTGTCATTTCAAAATTATTTCAATCCAAGAGTGTATCATGCGAAGGCGAAGCCACAGAATTGGAAAAGATAGATGCTGAATTGCTTGTCCTGAAGTCAAGCAAAGACATCAATCCTGTACAAGTGCAAAATGTATTGAAAGGACTCGAGGCATTAGAGTCCAGCTTTCAGGAAGCAGAGGAGGAGTTGGAGGGAGTTTACAGGAAGTTGGTGAAAACCAGAGTCTCAATTCTCAACACTCTTAGCCACTAGTCGATGCTCTTCTCATGATGAGGCAGTTTTGCCTTCACAATCCTTCAAAACAATTTTGCCTTAAGTGTAAATATACAAAAAATAGACAGGTGTATATTAAAATCAATATGAATATACCACAGCGTTCAATATCCAAATTTCTTGTCACACCCTCTTCTCTAATATTCCAGTCTTCATAATTTTATAGTTGATGCTCCAGAATCCAATCCAGTATACCATACCAGTAACTTGAGTTTTTGATTGTTTGGATAATGAATGTTTTTTATTGTTCGGACAATGAATGATCTTACAATCATATTAATTTTCTATTCTCCATGACTCCTGGTGTAAAGGGTTAATAACGAAGATATGAATTCGCGGAAAATAGTTATTTTTAGTGAAATTTAAGGATTTTTCAATGAATAAGTCAATAATTTTTTAGTGAAAAATTATAATAAATAAGTATTAAATTCTTAGAACAAGAATGTTTATTCATAATTTATGCATGATAAATGGTAAGAATATGTTATAAAAAATTAAAAATTATGAATATTTTACCTGAATTGTTTAGATAAAATTTTAAATTTTATTTTATGCATATTTTACTTGAATTGTTTAGATAATATTTTAAATTTTATTATTTTTATCCACGGAGTGAAGAGAGAGATCAGATAACATTTTTTTTACATAACTTTTTTTTTACAGGAAATTAATGTTGATGAGAGTAATATATAAGATGATTCTAATATTAATGTTGATTACATTAACCTGATACTTAACATTTGATGTATGAATAGCTTTTAGAGAATATTTTTTTACGGATAGTTGAATTGTTTAGATAGTATTTTAAATTTTATTATTTTTATCCACGGAGTGAAGAGAGAGATCAGATAACATTTTTTTTACATAACTTTTTTTTTACAGGTAATTAATGTTGATGAGAGTAATATATAAGATGATTCTAATATTAATGTTGATTACATTAACCTTGATACTTAACATTTGATGTATGAATAGCTTTTAGAGAATATTTTTTTACGGATAGGATACATAGAGATAATGATTATAGATTTTTTTTAATGGGTGCTTGATCCGAAATAATAGAGGCCCAAATAAATGAGGAATTGATTTTGTTAATTAGCCGAACAACGAAGCTTTTTGGTGAAATAGCACCGAGCAGACTGTCCCCTTTTTTCCTTTTTTTTTTTAATAGATTAACGTGGATGTCCGGGACAACTTGTGTGCACTACGACTAATTCCATGGGCCCTAAAGTTAACGATCATATAAGCCTCCAGTGGTTATCATATGAGCAACCAAGAACTCGAATCTAAGATCACAAAAAAAACAAATTTCTTAATTCCAAGTTTTTATTACTTAGATACCATCTGGATAGTTAGACCGTCCCCTTTTGGTTCGAGGAGTCATGGTCGGTGTAACTATTGAGCCTTTGTCATCGAGTCCACATGGATCAATGGAGGCCAGGCCAGGGTCACAAGACAATATCGGACACCATTCAATTCTAGGGAAAAGAGTGAGGGGACCATGGTCCACCCTATGGTCAGTACTCCTAGCATTAAAATTGGTCCTATTGGGCATGTTATAGGAACCATTATTAAGTCACGCGTTTAATAAAGCTACTAACAGTAAGGAGCACCAACCAACTAAAAATCCAAGGATGGTGTGGGGACATGTTATGACTACCTTGTCAGATATGTGTGGTCCCTTTTTCAACTGAAAATACCGCAAAGAGTTATTGAATTGTCGAGTTTTAAATTAAATTAAATATAAATTGACTCGATCAAATCAATTTATAATTTGTTTGATTTAATTAAAATCATGTTTAATTTAAAAATATTAAAATAAGGTAATTTTAATTTTTTAAATCTTAAAAACAACTTCCATAACCTATGCAGGGTTAAATAAATTTGGTGAATTATGTTACCAATCGACTCGGAGAGGGAAAACTCTACGCATATGGAGGAGAGTGGTGATGTTTAGAATGAAGGATTAGTTGTCTCATGGTATATTCCTTTCGTTGACCCAACGAGCCCATTTGGAAGGTGAAAATGATGGAGAGGGACCATTACAGAAACGGAACAGAACCATCTAATCAAATCCTTTTCCAACCTCCACCTGAAGAGATTAGCATTAGCCTTGTGTAGTTTTGTAATCGCTCAAATGTTTTTTTATTTTTAATATTAATATATTAAAAAAATATAAAAATATATTTAAAAAAAAAAAAGGAGTTCAAGCCGCGCAAACAAATATTTCCTATAATCAAGAAAGGTACTCTCATTTTATTGAAGTGATTTCTCACATTAAGAAGCTCGATGTGTGTAAGCATATGAAGGTCTTGGCATCATAAAATTATTATGGTTTTGTGATAAAATGAGTCTCGTTTTTATTAAAGAAAAACAAAACAAGAAGAAGAAGAAGAAGAAGAAGCTCAAAGCCTCTGTTGCTTCATGTATGAGCTAGTTTTCCTAAATTAAATTTGATCAAAGGGCAATACTTGTCAACGAAAAACTAAAGAATTATCTGTCCACCACTTTATTGATCTGTTCTTGAAAAGAAAATGGCTTATAACAGAGATTGATCTTCAATATATATCCCTTCTTCTGGGCCATATAATTGAACAATCTTGGTTACTCCACGTATCAGAGATACAAAGGGTGTCTTGTCTTCTCGAAGTAACTTGGACTTATTAGGCTACAAGGACACCGATTTCTAGCTGGCATCCTTAGCAAACTAGCTAGCTGATTCATGGTGTAGACTGGGTGATGGATGGACCTGTGAGCCTAGTTATTGTAAGGTTGTAGACCGCCCATGATTAGCCGGACTGTCTTCTTGATCACCTTTATTGAAAGAGATATTTAGATGGATGGATACTGGAGTCGGTGAAAATATACTTGTTGGACTTGATTCCATAATGGAAAAGGATTTGGATTATTAGATCATTAAAACAATTTGCATTTTATTAGGTTAATTCTAGTTAATTATTTTCATTAAAATATTTTTACTTATTAGATTACCGAGTTTTAACAAAGTCATTAAAAAACCGAGTAATTTTACTGAGTTAATGTTTTATTCAATTCCACTAAAAAATAAATCTAAATCACATTTTAATTCTCGAATTTATCGAGTCAACGGTTGGGACACGGCTCAAACAGAATTGATGATCGCCTCATGTTCTTGCTTCGATCTCTACGACACCAGTAATGTTTTTTTTTTATGGCAACATCAACATGGTTTTGCTTCGCAGATGAAGTCCTGCATGAGCAAATAATTGCTAAAATATCACGTGGAAAATTGGAGTCACTGGAGGAGAAAGAAGCTATCGTGGCAGCTTACATGATCAATAATAGACCATGGATAGGGCTCCGATCTGGATAACAATGGAAGTGGAACCCATCTCAAGAAATGTTTCTTCCCAGCACAAGAGGTAATTGACATTTCTTGAAACAAATGACTAAATCAAAGGCTTCAAAACAGGCAATCAACTATCCATTCTGCTGCGAAATGAGATTCTCCGAGCTATTTGCTATAATCTAACATCAGGCATCAAGCAATTACTCAATCAGAACTTGAAAGCTGTACATGCTATAATTAATCGTAGCTACTATTGGTATCCTTGTATTCCTTACTCCCTCTGTACAAGCACTAGCTAGTCGTTCATCATAGGTTTTGATGCGTCCACCAGCCATCCGCCCTCATGAATAATATTCATATGTAAAGCAAGCTTTAATCAGCACAAATTGCGCATGCCTCACAATCATCATTGCAATATTGGTGGTCAGATCCGACCAATTATGTGATTTGAAGAGGACTCGGGATAAATTTTTTTAATAAAATATTTAAAAATAATATTATTTAAATTTTTTTAATATTAAAAAAATTAATTCAAATTAAATTGTGTATTCATTGTCTATTGAGTTTACAAGATATTTAGTAAATTCAGAAATTAATCACAATGTATGTAAATTAACCCGAACATCTCGAGTTATATAAAAAAAAGATAGATAAACTATATCTAAAAGACGGTTAATTTTTTAATTGGTTTAATGTTGAATTTCACTTAAGGTTTAGGCCATAAAATTTCCCCAATCAACTCAACAAGATAGATTTAATTTAACAATTATGATTACTATAATAATATCAAGATATTTTTCAATAAAATTTTTGTTTATTCAATTTATAAGACTCATATTTTGACCTGTCAAAGCCAAACCTAATATGAGTCCAAATACAACTAAACTAACATAGGTATTAAAAAAAAATGTCAAAGAATTGTTTCTCTCTCTTTTTCTTATAACTCTCTTGTAAAATAATGAGGAAATTAATTCTAAACTTAAGTTTTAGTTCAAAGAAGGGTCCAAAAACAAGAAAGGATCCCTTCTTTTGTTATTTTTTATTAGAAAATTGATTATAAAACGATTATAGAAGTGTTTAGGGTTTTTATATTGATTTGATGATCAAATGATTTAAAGGAGTTAATTGAAGTATTAGGATGTTAGTTAGCTTATAATGAAATTATAGGTTTTTGAAGAATAAATTATTTAATTACAGGATCTATAGATTTGAAAACTAGCGGATCGGGATTCTAGAAACCCGATCAACTAGTCAATCGATTAGTATAAACCATCTAACTAGTTGGTTTGATGCTACCAGTCAATAATCGGTTTAAATCACCCGATCGATTGACTTGTGAAAGTGTTCGAACACTTGGTTATTTCGGTCAACTAGTTGACCCAATAGTAAGGTTAATTGGGTCTGTTAGATTCGACCAATATGAAATATATTCGAGATTGATTGAATGAATCTATTAGGTATTATAATTATGTTTTAGTCTCTAAGTTTAGAGTTTTAATCTTTTATATTATTTTGCTTCAAGTTATTTTTTAGTGTTTATCTGTATCTATTATAAGTTTTACTAGCATTCTTCCTAACGATCCTCGATAGTCTCTGATTTTATATCATTTTATTTTTTTTCTTTTGTTTTCTAGGTGAATAGGATAGTCTTTAATGTGGATGTAATATAAATATTATACATATGCATGTTGATTGTATGATAAATACAATTAATAAATTCTTGAATAGCTATATATGTAGCTTTATTTCTTAAGTACTCATCCATACTTGATATCACACCCGAACATCATAGTGATCAATTAAAAATTAATCTCAAATGAAAAAAGAATAGATATCTGACATCTTGCTCTTTTAGAGGAAAAAGGTCTTGTTTAAAGAGTCGCCACCTAATATTATGGTCACTAGGAACCCTAACTAGTCAACAGAGATTTTATGGTATGGGACTGATTAGGCAAAAAAAAAAAAAATATCACCCCTTAAGCGTCCTATCTAAGGCATGCTACATTGCTAATTTTATCTAAAATTGCTACGAATTTGTTCTCTTTTTTTTTTCTTTTTTATTCTTCCTTTAATATTCCTGACTCTGGTGTCAGTGAATAATTCCTACGAATATTTTTAACTCTGGTATTGGTAAACATCTCACAAATTCAAAAAATATGATACTTAACTCTAGTATTAGTGAATATTTCATAAAAAATGAATTTGAAGAAGAAATTTTTTATGTCCTTTTTTTCTTGTTTATCTTTTATTATTATTTTCCCTTTTTAGATGGAAGTAAAAAAAATATTACACGATATATTTGCATTTAACAGTAATAATCCACAGATTGAACACATTTACAAAAATACAAACACAAGAAGAAAAAAAACAAAGTGTGGGGGCCCGTAAATAAATCAATAAAGATTCCTAAATATTTTTCAAATTTTCTGATATTGAAAAAGGGCTCGTTTGGCCAAATATCCAACTAATATGGGCATAAAAATTATAGCTAAGACATCAAGGTCTGTTTTGCCAAACACACCTTTAGTAAACACAGTTTGGGTCGGCTAGGCCTAAAGTTTAAACCTGGCCAGCTCTTTTTTTTTTTTTGGTTGGATCTAGCATAACCATGGGTGAAAGGTTCACGCATGCATGTAACAGTAACCAGTTAATTATTTTAAGAAGGAAACTTATATAGGCGTGCAACTGCTAAAGGGGAAGTCGAGGGAGACTAGGCTAAAAAATAAAGGGGTTAAGGAGGGCGGTGGCTAGTATAGGGTTCGCTGTCCCTTTTCTTTTTTATATTTCTCTCTTTTAGGTTTTCTAATAATGGCCTCCTCCTGGGATCTCTTCTTTTAGGGTTTCTCCCTAATTGTTCTTTTTTGCATATAGTGAGGTTTGTATTTATAGTGTCGCATGTGAGAAACAAACTTTCAGTCAAACTCATTGGGACTGATTACGCAAAAAAAAAAAACAATATCACCCCTTAAGCGTCCTATCTAAGACATGCTGCATTGCTAATTTTATCTAAAATTGCTAAGAATTTGTTCTCTCTTTTTTTTCTTTTTTATTCTTTCTTTAATATTCCTGACTCTGGTGTTAGTGAATAATTCCTATGAATATTTTTAACTCCGGCATTGGTAAACATCTCACAAATTCAAAAAATTCAATACTCTTGACTCTAGCGTCAGTGAATATTTCATAAAAAATGAATTTGAAGAAGAAATTTTTTATGTCCTTTTTTTCTTGTTTATCTTTTATTATTATTTTTCCTTTTTAGATGGAAGTAAAAAAAATATTACATGATATATTTGCATTTAACAATAATAATCCACAGATTGAACACATTTACAAAAATACAAACACAAGAAGAAAAAAAACAAAGTGTGGGGGCCCGTAAATAAATCAATAAAGATTCCCAAATATTTTTGAAATTTTCTGATATTGAAAAAGGGCTCGTTTGGCCAAATATCCAACTAATATGGGCATAAAAATTATAGCTAAGACATCAAGGTCTGTTTTGCCAAACACACCTTTAGTAAACACAGTTTGGGTTGGCTAGGCTTAAAGCTTAAACCTGGCCAGCTCTTTTTTTTTTTTTTTGGTTGGATCTAACATAACCATGGGTGAAAGGTTCACACATGCATGTAACAGTAACCAATTAATTATTTTAAGAAGGAAACTTATATAGGCGTGCAGCTGCTAGAGGGGAAGTCGAGGGAGACTAGGCTAAAAAATAAAGGGGTTAAGGAGGGTGGTGGCTAGTATAGGGTTCGCTGTCCCTTTTCTTTTTTATATTTCTCTCTTTTAGGGTTTCTAGTAATGACCTTCTCTTAGGGTCTCTTCTTTTAGGGTTTCTCTCTAATTGTTCTTTTTTACATATAGTGAGGTTTGTATTTACAGTGTTGCGTGTGAGAAACAAACTTTCAGTCAAACTCATTTTCTTTTTTGAAATTTGAATTTGATTAAGAATCAAATTTAAAAGCAGATAATTATTATTATCTTGAAGATAAGGATTATCTTGAAAATAAAAATTATCTTAAAAATAGAGTTTATCTTGAAGATAAGGATTATCTTGAAAATAGAGATTATCTTAAAGATAGGGATTATCCTAAAGATAAGGATAGAATGAAAAAAATACATTGTAATCTCTAGTTTTCAAGCAAATTGATAAATCACACTTTTCATCAAAATAAATCTTTGATATTTTAATTTTACATCTTAACCCTGTAGAATTAAATTAAAAAGTCAGTAGGCCAAAATTGGATTACAGCACTTGATTTTGCACTCGTATTCTATTGAGTTAAATTGTACTTGATATGACATACATTTGCTTTGATAATTATATGAATATTTATTATGTTTTGATATTAGATTTATCAATGACTTTATACTAACGAAACATAATTAGTCCATGTGCATATAGTATCATGTATACCTAGCTGGTAAGAAAGGCACCAGCCTGTTGCGACTAATCCTTCCATAGTGTTTAAAGCTGCAAACCTCGTCCATTGTATACTATATGAGTCAATAACTATATATGATCTTTGACATGTATTTCATTTTTATATGTTATTATGCTTAATATACACGTGTGTACTTGTTGTAGTCCTCATACTTATAAAAAACTAAATTATATATTAAATGTTATTCCTCTTATTAAGTTAGTTGAACTCTTCCTATTAATATTATTTTAGATTTCTAGTTTTTATTAGCAGGTTGACTTTTAATTGAGAGTTTTTGCTATTTTATTTGTTAATATGTTTTACTTGATTCCATGAGGTTTTTTTTATTTTTTGTGATTCGATGTTTTAAACACTTTACTATTATATTGTTTTTATTTAAGTTTAGATTTTTATTTTAAAAATTGAATTTGTTAAATGTAATAAGTATTTTGAATTATAAATTATTTTATTAAATTTGAGGAGTATTTAAAAAATTAAGAAATGCTATGTAAATTTTATATATATTTTAATGTTCAACACAGGTGAGATGTTACTCCTAATGTTGCTGGTCACATACGCAAGATTCGGGTCGTGATAGTTACCGAACATAAAATGCGTTTTACCCAAGTCATGAGAAAGGAACCTTAACTAGGCATATGTTTTGAATGTGTCGAGGGAGACAGGCAGACATAAAGTACAAGTAGAGCATAGCAGCACAGGCATGCAAGAGAGAATAAAAGGGTTTTTTTTTTTTTTCTTTGCAATTTTCTGAAAGAACACAACATTTGCCATTTTCTTTCAATACATGATAAAGCTAACAACCACCTACCAAATTTCCTTTTCCTTTTTTTTTTTTTTCCTCCTTGGAGATTATCCTCTTCCTTTCTAGACCAATAAATACAAATTGAAGAGGAGAAAACCCTAGATAATTTTAATAAAATCCTAAAAGAAAAAAAGAGAAACCGTATCAAATGGTTTCTGGTAACTAACGAGCAATTTCAGTCTGCAAAGATGCATTAAGCTCCATCTGTTCTGCCTCCCACTTAGCCTTGGCTACAACCCCATCATGCACAGGTACATATTCCTGACAGAATGAGAAAAAACAACAATTAAAACGAAAGGAAAAAAAATACTAATTCAAAAGAAAAAATGGAATGAACCAGAACAATGTGAATCGATTACAAGAACCTACCTCAAGTTTCTGAACAAGCTCTTTAGCATTTGGGGCAGAGACAATAATACTGCGCTGAGAGGGCATGATGAACCCATCATCCACTGCCTTGTCTATGAAAGTCAGCAGATAATTGTAGTAGCCATCCACATTAAGCAAACCCACCTGTTATATCAAGAACTATGGTAAGAATTGACCTTAGAGTATACAAAACTTTGTGCCCATTTTGGAACGCGGGTGTGGGTGCGGTTGCATCTGCATTCCTAAATGGAAAAAAAAAAAAGCATTATTTTGATGCTTTTTATTTAAGAACACGGATGCAACCGCAGTAGTGCTCGCGTTTCCTTGAGCTTTTTCAGTAGTGAACGCGGGTGTCATCACAGCCACGCTCACGTTCCCAAACGAAACTTAAAACACAAAGTAGCTTTACGGGCTTGTCGTGGATGCCAAGTTGGGCCCATGTGATGACTTCCAATAACTCCTCCAAGGTTCCATACCCACCTGGTTTAATCAATAAAATATCAAGGCATACCATCGGACAATACATCATTTGAGAGAGGGAGGAGAAGGAGAAAGAAAGATGGAGAAGTGGTACCTGGTAAGGCAATAAAACAGTCAGAATGGCGGGCCATCTCAGCTTTTCTTTGATGCATGTCTGCTACTGGCCTGACCTCCCCTACTGTTTCCCCTGTCAGCTGCGCATAACAAAACAGAGCTGAGATGGCCCAGCAAAATAAAATAAATAATTCTATGGAAGAATCCTAATTTGCGTACATACCTCTTTGCTCATCAGAGTTTTAGGGATGACCCTGTAAGAGAGAAAGCAACAAAAGAAATAGCACTAAAAATTAGCTCTTGAACAAGAAAATGAAATTGTGTGGCCATGAAAGCTTGCTCCATAGCTATAATTCATTTACACGCATACCCGATGACATGTCCTCCACCTCGATGAACCTCCTGGGAAACTAATCCCATTAGTCCAACACTGCCTCCACCATAAACAAGATCCAGGCTCCTTGAGACCTTCACATAGAATCAAAATTCAAAAGAAATTCAACATTTTTGGATTTAGAAGCTTAGGTTTTTTAATGGCTGTACCAATTCTTGGCCAAGTTCAAGAGCAGCATCACGGTAGCAATCTCTTTTGCCAGTACTGCTACCACAAAACACACAAACCCTTTTAAATTTCGATGATTTAACCGCTACTTTACCATCCTCCATCTCTCAGCTCTCTTGTATTTATTCTTTACGAGAGATTTTTCACCCAAAAAAAGAGGGCACAACTATGCCAAGTGAGAGAGATGGATCAGCTCCATATATAGAATTAGAATCCAAGGAGAAAAGAGAGCAGGATAATTTCGGGCACCTTGGAATCCTGTCATGCCACGTGTACACAACGAAAAAAATATTTGCCAAAAACGCCTGCACCATACACTGGTCCCGTTAGATTCTTTAGCCCACTAATTTCAGCCCACGTGCACTATATTGCCAGCTCAGCAATCACGTAGTCCATGGCATTCACAAGACCTAGAGAAATTATTCAAAATTACAACACCATACATCCCGATGTTACTAAAACCCGGCTAGGCTTGTTAACTTGAGATATAACCTCAATCATATTATAAAAATTAAACTCGAGTGATTTGGTGGGTTAACTTATAATTTAATTTGATTTTTTAAGAAAATAAATTTCAAAATAATAAAGTGTTGTCGTTGCATCTTGATTGCTAGTGATAGCTAGCAGCTTTCGTTGCTGGTTTCCTGCAGGGATAGCAGCTCCCGTAAAACTATAATCGTGATTAAATTCTCTATATGGTACCAGACTAAAGCCCCTTAAACTCCAACGAGTGTTCACTATAATCTTGTTGCTTCCGCCATTGCCACCACCTTCTCTGACAGTGCTTCAGTAGCCATCAATGCTTCCCAACAAATCACTGCACATTTCGCGCCAAGAAACTTCCCTTCATGGCATGCTCAATTTGAGGCGCCGCTTCTTGGCTATAACTTGTTTTCTCCGGCATAAATTCCCCTCATCGCATCTTCCAAAACACCGCATCAAGCCTGAACAAAACTCCATGCTAGTAGATCCAGGACTCATGTCATGCAACTCAAAGAGGAACTCACCATTATGCAACATGGAAGTCGCAGCATCATAGAGTACCCACACTCTGTTAAAACAATTGTTGACGATCAGTTTGCACTCATTGATGCACCTTATCTCAAGATGACATCACAATATATGTCCTCCATGGCTTGGGATCTGAATTTCACGACATTGTTGCTCCCATTCAAGAGTTCATGATTTGTTACTTAGTCATGAAGCCTATCTTCTGAGGTTCCACTCCTATGCACAATCCTTAGTGCTTACTGCCATTAATACTCACGCAACTTCAAGAACCAGCCCTCCTCCAATTATCAACCACCCAAATCAGACTTGAAAACCAAGCCTCATCAAATCAAACCATACAGGTACCATTAATGTCAATATCGTGATCAACAGAGACACGTTGCTTCTCCTATACCATTTAAAACATAGCATCATTTACCTTCCAATCTTAACTTATTTCTCAGTAATTTTGACTTTGTACTCAATTATTCTAATTCACTATCGCATATAAATTTTACTTATTTTATATAACATATTATATATTCACAGTCATTCAAAATTTATTTTTTACACAACATTATATTTTTTTTCTCATAATTTCTTTAAACAAATACAATTTTATTATATACTAACATGTTCTTTCTTAAACGATCATATACGCCATTAGAGACACCACGCTTTTCTTTGTAACTTAACACTTATTACAAGCTAATATAATCCAATTGGTTTAATTCAACTTTTATTTATATTTTCTCCAATTTCAAATTTTAAACACTAATACAAAAATATGAAGTTACTCTTTAGAAATGTTGTTGGGTTGTATTTTTTAAAATTTTAAAATTATATTTTATAAAAAAATTAAATTAATTTGTTTTATTATTTTTTAATTGTTTTAGTATGATGATATTAAAAATAATTAAATTAATTTGTTTTATTTTTTTTTTATTGTTTTAGTATGATGATATTAAAAATATATAAAAAAAAAATTTTTTAATAAAAAAAATTTAAAAAATAATTTATCTTGCATAATATCCTGTTTATTTTTGCGTTTTAAAAGTGTTTTTAAAAAAATTTAAAATTTTATTTTATATTTACTTTAAATTAATATATTTTTAGTGTTTTTAAATTATTTTAATATATAAATATCAAAAATTATTTTTAAAAAATAAAAAAATATTATTAATATATATTTTAATATAAAAAATTATTTAAAAAATAACTAAAATCATACTTAAAAAAACTACATTGTTTTCAACATTAAATTACACTCACAGACGGAATAGCACCCATCACACACATGAGAGATTTTACTGGGTCCCCTCCTTGTTTGACTAATATTAATCTCATAATTAATAAATTGGATCTGCCCTGCAAGTTGGATTTGATAAGACATTTTAAGGATTAGTATGTTTTGTTTTTACAGTATTTTCTTTTTTTTTAACCGTATTTTCTTTTCTAAATTAATTTTAAAAAATAAGGTAACAACCTATTATCTTACTATTTTAGATTTAAAAAACCAATTAGCTCGTGCGTGTTGGGAAGTTGTTAAAGAAAACATTTTAGGTTTCATGAGTGTATCACAAGTTAAGATATTTTATTCGAATGAGATAAGGATATTTTACTCTTTAATAAGTTAAAAATATTTTTTTATATTAAATTAAATTTTAAAAAAAAGATATAAGTCATGAACATGAGCTATAAGAGAAAATTATGAAATCTTTCAAGGAAGTTCTTTTCTATTCTCTAATACATATTTATTCTTAATTATTCTTTAAAATATAATTTTTTTTTCTAAAATAATATTTGTTAAACATAAGAAAGTCTTCACATATATCGAATATTAATTATTTTTTATTTTAACTAAGAGGAATAAATCATATCATTAAAATTAAAAGATTAATTAATTATTTAAAATATAAATTTTATCTTCAAGCTAATTAATTTTTTTAAAACATTATCGATTCCAATCTAAAATCTTATTTTAGCTGAGTTTTATTTTAAATTAGTTTAAAATTTAATCTTATAAATTCATTGGAGACTTAATTAACTTGGTATAGTTCACTTTATTTTTAAAATAATTAAATTTATATAAAAAATAACATTGCTTTGGAATTGACCAAAAACATTTGTGACTGAGACTCAAAAAATTTATTTCACCTTTTGCTACTATTAATTAATTTTAATTATAAAATAAAATAGATATGATAAAATTTAAATTTATGATTATTTGATTTTTAAATTTATAATATTATATTAAAAAATAATTTTAATTTAAATATTTAAGTTATTAGGTGAAGTTGGGTTATATTATTCTCCAATGTACAATAATTTCACCGAAAAATTTGACAATTTTGATAGAATTAAATTAAAATATGTTCTGCATTCAAGCTGTTGTCTCTCACAATTCAGAGAACCAATCGATCTATTCTGAAGCTCGCGTGCCATGCCAAGAACAGTTTGAAACCAAGAAATCAAGCCACATCGTTCTCATAGAGAAATCTACTGGTTACTGTACTTAAACAACTCATTTATTAAAAAGCCAAATGAAAGTCGCAAAACAATTATTATATAGACCTATTTTAATTATTACTATATTATTTCTTTTTTACAGGTAAAGTTATCCTTTTGCCAGCTTTTTGTAAATTAAAATTAAGTCCTTTTCAGATGATCATTTCAAATTAATAAATTCATCCCATATCTATATTTATGTATTCATAAAAAACAAGTATTTTTTTATTTTTTTATATAATTCAAACTTTAAATAATAATATGATTAACCTTTAATTATTACAAGCCAAAAAAATAAAGTGTAAGAACATAATAAATATTCAACACATTCGCAAACGTCCCTTTCCACCCCAATAATGAGATTAATGTTAATCCGTTTAACTGAAGAAAGCTATCAAATTATTTGTGGTTAGGTCATGTCTGTTTCCACATTTCAATTTTAATTTTTACATCTTCAAACTTTAATCTCTCTTTATCCCTGAATAGTCTAAAAAAAAAATTTAGAAAAGGAACTTGGAGCTCGTTTATTTTGCATAAAATGTTTTCTTGTAAAATACATATAAAATATTTTTTAATATTTAGCTTAAAAAATATTTTTATGTAATATATTTTTCATGGTTAATGATGGTAGTAAAAAGAAAATAAAAAAAGAGAAAGTGAGGGTGATGATAAGATAATAATAGTGATAAAGGTGATGTGGTAAGATAATAATGGTGGTGAAGTAATTATAGTGGATAATGAGGTGAAGGTAGTGGTAATAATAATAATTAAAATAATATGTTAATATTATAAGTCGATTATTATTTGTAAAACATTTTATTAAATTTCATAACCTAAAAATATTTTTAAGTAAATAAACTAAATTTAAAAATTGATTGTAAAATATTTTATATTAACTTGTTTTCCTGTAAAATATTTTTAAGTTAATAAATTAAATTTAAAAATTGACTATAAAATATTTTGTGTTAACCTGTTTTCCTGTAAAATATTTTATAAGAAACAAGTATAAAAAAATATTTTTTAAAAAATATTTTACAAAAACAAACAAAAAAAATTAAAAATATTTTTTTGTAAAATATTTTTCATGAGACAAACAGACCCTTAGGTTCATACTTCGATGTGATAATTTGAAGATTACTCTTCCATGAATCTTCATACGAAGAGAGCCTTCACCTTTGACATGCAAATGAAAAATAGCAAAACAGCTTCCCCACAAAGGGAATTTTTTATTGAGTGGGTAGCATCGAACAACAACCCATTTCATTGTGGGCATTATTGCATATGACAAGGATAGAATGTATAAAATTTTCTGGTGACTCAATTGACATATATGCAGTTCTAACTACAAGAGATGGTGTTTAGCCTCGATCATGACTTTAACTTGGCAATTTAAGAAAGGAAGCATGGCTTATCCTTTCTTTTTTTTTTTAAATTAAAATAAATATCCGAAATAGCTTATATATATCTCAATTAATTTCATAAATTATAAAATTAATAATTATATAAATTTTCAATAACTATTATATTAATAATTATAAAACTCGAACTTGAAATAACAAAAAAATACAAATTCTTATTGAAACTCTTACCACTAGCCACTTGCTAGATGATTAGCATGGCCTATCTTTAATTATATCCTAGCTTGTCATGATCTCATGCTCCACCATGAAACCCGATGGCTGGAGGAAGCAGGCGAAAATGTGCGTCTCATGTGCTCACTGATCATTTTCACCACATTTAGATCATTCTCCTTAGCAGAAGGAAAATGGAATGATGATAGGTTCGTTGATCCTAGCAAGTGCGTGGGTTTTCCGTGTACAACTTCTCTAGGTTCACTTCAAGAGAAAATGACCTTTGTTTGAGCTCTTTTGAACCGTGGCAACCAAGCTAAACAAAAGTGAATAACAAGAGGAGAAAGCGGCAAGGGTCGAAGGTGTGGTTGGTGTCTCTATGATTATATGTTTTTGTGCGGTGGTGGCTTGTATGGTGGTGGTTCAAAAGATGACAAATCCAAGACGAAGGGATGCATAAAGTGAAGGTGGGTTGACTCCTGATGGGGCATGGAGGCAAAAGGTCCAGGGCGGTAGGCGCCTCAAAGTTCTTTGAAGTTTTTAATTATGTAGATGTTAGCGTGGACTTAAGACTTTGAGAGAGAGAAGTTTCCACCTAAAACTTTACAATGACATCATGCATGTTTCTTATATGTAGGCAGACATTCCCATCCCACCTTCCCATATGATTCCCAAAATTCCAAAGAGCAGCAGCAAAGTGAAAACTTCCATGGCTGTTCTTACATGGTAGGGTTCTACATAAGTGGGATACCATCCATCGATTGAAAGACAATTCAGTAGTTTTTCTTCTAGATAGAAAAAACCTTGTATTAGTCTTACAAGTCAACTCGAGATATAAATTGGTTCGAATTAAAAAAAATAAAAGGTAACTTGTCAACCCGCAACCCCACCAATCCCAAGTAAAATACAAAACTTGAAGAAGAAAAGTTCTTCTCTTCTCCTCCGTCCTTTCACCTCCTCTTGCTATCATATATTCTCAGAGAAATATGGATATGTGTGGCTGCAAGAATGATCTGAATCTCGGGAGCTAAGCCGAAGAAGATAGTTTGGGCCAATTAACTATCAATAAAATACCAATTTAATTTCAACATTTTGATTTTCTTTTCATCGATTAGGTTTTAGTAAAACTTCAACATTTTAAAACCATATTTTGCATGCAAAGGAAAAGGACTTAATATACTTTTATTTATGTTCTGATTCTTGTGTATGTATCAATTATAGACAATAAGTGGTTGGAGGAAACATTTATTTTTATTTTTTAGAGTTTAATGGGAGGCTCAATGGATCTACACTTTTTTGAGATTTGAATATGAAATTCTCAAATAAAAATCCCACATCCTAATTAATGTTTTAATTCACCTCAATTTCCATCGGCCATCACCGATTGAATGTGATGTTCAAGACTTTAAAGTAAGCCAATATTTTGGAGTTCCACCTTCCGATTACAATTTTTATCTTGTGTTCGTCATCTTCTATTTTCAAAAATATAAAGACTAATTATCTTGTTATTTAAAGTCATAACGGTTCATGTTACAAGTTAACTTAAATATTTTTAAATGATAAAAAAAATATCATTTTGATTTTAAAAAATTAAAAATAGTCAGTACCAAGATTTTGAACAATTTTTTCCTCGATTAACTGGGTCATGGGCCAATGTCAAATATTAAAACAAAATTAAATTGATAATGTCAAAATAAAAATTAAATTGATAATTTTTAGGTGTTTTTTAATGGTTTTGATTTGTTAATGTCAAAAATTAAATAAATAAAAAAGTAACATTTTATCTTCTAGCAAGCAGCTGGCATGGACAAGGAACCTTCAGAAGAATTTCTCGGCAGTTCCTTGCTCAGTAACTTAAACCGTGAATCTAAATCCAGGATCATGTCCATAGAAAACAGAGGCATGTACAATAGAAATGGCCTGTTCTGCTTTATTAAGCTCGACAGTTTGTCTGGTTTGCAATTTTCAAGAATTGAACATAGGCTGGCACCTCCCTCCCGTGCATGCAGACCTCACTAAATCACACTAAATCGCCAAATATAATATTCAATGCCTACCTCTATCTGAAATGGAAGCTTCCTCTGGGACATATTTGGTCCCCAAAGCTGTTGCCAGTAATTCTAGGTTCGTGCTACAAAGGATACTTCATTGTCCTTTTCCTCAAGATCTGAGATCTTGATCAGGATAGCCTGTCTTTCAAGGTTTTGTATAAAAACCAGGAGATGATTTAGTCTGGTCACTAATGCCAATTACCTGAAAATTGAACCCCGTATTTGTGCCTTAATCCTCTCTTTACAAGTGCCACAAAATTCTTGTATCTTTGTTGAGAATGGCACTGCCTGATTTCAATGCTCTCAGAGACTTGCACAATTGTGCCAATGACCTCCTCCATTCACCAGAAATCCAACAAGCTCTTGTCAGCCAGAAACAAGAAAAATGGCTTCACGAAGTCTCAGAGGCATCTCTAAGAATGTTGGACGTGTGTGGTGTATCTAAAGATGTTCTTTTGCTTGTCAGAGAACATCTTCTAGACTTACAATTCACATTACGTAGAAAAAGGGTTTGCAAGCAAGATATTAGCACCGAAATTGCAGCCTATAATCTCTACAGAAAGAAGCTAAAGAAAGGGACATTGAAATGCCTGAAATCACTGAAGGGAATGACAGGCAAATCTGTAACATCAGATGCCTCGCATGTAGACCACAGCATTGCTGTGGTTGTTGAAGTACTAAGAGAAGTAAGTGTGACTGCCATCACCATTGTTGAATCTTTATTATCTCTCGTTTCAATTCCATGGCTGGAGCAGGGATCAAGTAAAGGGTCCTTTATAAGGTCCACGTTTTTGCGATCAACTGGCCAGAGACTGTATGATTTTTTTGATGAAACTGCACTTCATAGTGCAAATAAAAGATTGGAGGCAGTTGAGATTGCTGTTGAAGATCTTGAAGTTGAATTAGAGTGCATGTTCAGACGTTTGATCCAGACTAGGGTTTTGCTTCTTAACATACTTACTAACTAGGAAGGATAGCCTATCCTTAACTCCCTTCGGCAACCTTGTTGAATCTGTAAACCCTGTGTTCAAGGGATTTCAGGTTGCTTTGCCATGGTGATCACCACTAATTAATTACTTGTTGGAGGAAAATTACATGTAACTCTTTCATATTATTTTTTTAATGGATGTACCATGTATAACACAAATTATTACATTAATGTATTCTTTTTATTCTTTTCAAATAAAAATGAACAGTACTATATCCTTTTTAATCTTGAAGCAAGAATGTCCCTTGAAATAAACTCGTTAGGTTATGTTTGGTTAGTGTTCTAAAATAAAAAATGATAATAATTACAAAATGGATATCAACGAATTTGATTAAAGTCACAGAGATAATTATATAAAAACAAATTTATATCTGGTATAATTTTAAAGTGAATTTTTATCCTTTCAAAATAGAATATACAGTATTTCAATTGTTTTCAATAAAATTATTTTTATTTTTTTATCCTAAAACAATAACCAAACGCTATTTTAAAGATAAAAAGATGGACAGCTTTGAGAAAGTTTGGAGTCAAAACTACGGCAATGTAACGTATGTTTCTCTTATATCAAAATGTAGAGCTAAGACTTTTGAGAAAAAAATAGTTGAATCATGCTGTCTACATGGCATGGTTACAACTTACAATAAAGGCTTCTCTGTTCTCTGATTACCTCTTCTAAACAAAAGATATTGGACACGTAACAATTACATCATACATGCACGACAGTTAAACTATAAGATTAAACCAAATTATAGATTTCATTAACAGCAATAAATCACCAGTAAAATGATTTTTAAACTAAGAAATTGTAACTTCTGTAGATCACTCAATATTGCCATGGGTAGCCACTTACTTCGTGGAGAAAAACTATACATAAATCTCATCCAGTGTGAACAGGATTTATTGCATTCTTTTTGGCTTTTCAATAAAGGATTCTTTTACTATCTAATAAAACTGCGAGCCCCGGCTATTTTACTTTTTTTCTTAATTAATCCTCTTAGCCACAACAAATGGTAGGCATCGTTCGGTATTGATCATGATTTAATTACTATGAACACAGTGACCCGAACCATCACTATTTGTAACAATGGGTGATAGTTCACAATCTTGATTATAGGAAGGTAATGCGAGCACAAAGAGTAGTGATTTTACCATGATCTGCTATGATTCTGCTACAAATTTTACTGACGACACGCTGAGATGAGCTCATATCAGCCAGAGCAAATGAAAAGTCTTCTGTATAGCTTCAGCTTGATAATGAAAATCGAACAAAGTACCCATGTCTAGAGACGAATACATACACGCTAAAATCCATGCTCACAAACAAGAATGTTCAATGTTCACGAGAATCTTTTTCTGCCAACAATTTATTAAAAAGAAGAATGAAACGGAGCTGAACTTTCATGCTTGGCCATTCATCTTCATTCTTCAATGGGATGCCTGCAATCAGCAAAATAAAATTATGGTTGCCCCATTTCCTTGTACGTTCTGATAATGGTAAAATAGATCGCTGACACAAAATCATAGGAGGAAGAAGATGAAATGTTTGTCAAGAATGCCAGGTGCCAACTAGAAATAGCCATGACATGCATAACCAATGACCAACAAACTAAACTGAACCTTCACTTTGTAATGAAGAACTAGGGCCAAGCCGGTAATGGTTAAATGAAAATAAAAATTAAATGACAAACATATGCATGATATTGAGAACCAAAATATAATATTTCTTCCAACTCTCTTTTTTCTTTTCTTCTTGGATCCCCTCTTGCTATTTTTATTTTTTTCAATTTGCTGCTTAAGATGTTGCCGCATGCCACTTCCATAAATGGGCTACAAATCATGAGAGCAGAATGGCCACAACAGTAAACACCTTCAAAGTATTCAAGCATAATCAACCACGATGCCATCCACTCTTGAATGGGGCACGATGAAAGTGAGCAGTACATCAACCATATTCTGTTTTCCTACCCATTATGAAATTTGCATGAATAAATAGAAAGGATACCTATGGGCCTTCGGGTTCAGTAAACAACTTTCATTTGCATAAAATAAAAGAGGTCCATAATAATGCTTTTCTCCTCAAACCAATGCCATAAAATATCTTAATCCTCATCATTAAAATCACAGCTATTTGCTGCCAACTATTTTATAAAAAAAAAAGGGGGGGGTTGCCAAGTTCTTCTTATAGAATGGTTGCAGGCTTTTGAAAGAGCTCAAAAGCTTTGCAGGTGATCTAAAAGATGCTTTGAATGAGAACTCTTTTCTTAAGTAACCTGATTTTAATCTCAACAAGAAGTGCAAGATTTTCATAAAAATACCAATTTCGGGAAGAAAATCTTTACAATGGCAATAACTCCATAACTACAAGCTAATCATTGAAGTCTTCTCTTCTCTCCTAATTATTATTAATCAACAGTACTATTCCTATGATAGCATGGTGCAAGCACACAGATCCTTTCGAACTCATGATAGAAAAATCACCACCCCATCCATCTCCATTTTGATATCACATAATACACCTTTCCAAAACAAAAACAGTTCTACATTTTATTTCAATCAGTGGCATGGATTTTTGTGTGTATGACAAAACTAAAATGATAATTTGAAGAATACCCGGGATATCTATCATTATTTTGAAGAATCAAATAATGTATGACCACAGCGTAAGTTCTCATAATCAGTAAAGACCACCTCCAGTTTGTAAACGCTACACACATTACGGTTTCTTTATAATCTGTTCTTTTGTACGAAAAAGAGGGAGAGAGAGAGAGGAAAAGACTTATCCATACAAGTAATAACAAGAGAACAATAACATCACCGTTTGCTCCTTAAACCGGCAGTACAAGTGATATACTTACACTGCATATACATCTATAACAAGGAAGATAACTAGTACACCAAGAAACAAAGACATTTTAACAAACAATAGGAGTGAGAGAAATTACCTAGTGCCCATGTCCATGGCCATGATCATCATGGCCCTCCCACGGATGCCGCCAGCCCTGCAGAGCACAACATAACGCCATAAAAGTGAATAAATGCCGAATGCAAAAATTCATTAAAGCTCAATGAAGAATCCACTCTTACCAATACTACTGGACCATCTTGTTTAGCCCGGTACAATACCCAAAACCTGGAATCACAAATTACAACAAAACCCCAGCAGTCAGTTTCCCTCCAGATCAAGAGCACAGAAATCCCATAATTTCAGTGTAAACTATCACAAAACAGATCGGAAAACAACATGAAAAACTATAGTGATTGAAGCTGCGAAAGGGGAAAAAAATGAAGTATAACCACTAACCACATGACAGCACACAAGCCCTTTCCAGTTACAGTATGCCATCGCTTTGGCTTATGCATAGTCAAGCCCTTGTAGGCGATGCCCTCTCCATGCCCTCCTGCCATCTCTTTCACCCTCCTCTGCCCCTCTGAATTGATCGATCGCAATGGCGATTTTGTCTCGGGATTACTTCTCGTCCCGATGCCGCACCTGATCTTGACCTTGTGTGGGTATTGGGCCGAGTAGCGGTCGTGAGAAATAGTCGAGGCTAGTAATGGGCTAGAATCTGTATAGTATTGATAACATTATAGTGGTCCGAGCCTTACTTTCTGGGCCTCTTCTCATAATTTTGTGGCCTCTCGACAAAATATTAATCGTCTACGGGCACTTTAATTCAAACTCAGGATTACCACATCAATCTAAATTAATGAGTTTTTGTTTAAATAGTTATTTCATTTAATAAATAAATGAATACCAAATCAATTAAATTATTTTTTATTTAAATAATTATTATATCCAATGAATAATAAATATGGTATTGGATCAAGTTTGAGATGATTATTAATTAAAAAAACAGTACATTATACACTTGATTATTTAAATTTAAAAATAATTTTTTCTCTCTCTAACAATTAGAACATATCAATTCATTGCAAAAAAAAAAAATTTCGTTTTTTCTATGATTGAATGATATAATGCCATCGTTGACTGTCTTTGTTGTTTTTTTATATTATTATTATTATTATTACCGCTAACTGTCTTTGTCGATTGTTGATGGAAGGACCATATTAGTACAAAATGGATCATATCGAGACAAACACGAAAACGAGGACCAAAATAAATAAATCCAAGACGAGGAGAATTGGTGACCAAAGGCACCATTGACCACGTGACTGTCAGGCAAGAACGCGGCTCGAAACAACGGCAAAGGGACGAGAAATAGCACGTGTAAAGCATTTTTATCATTTATGCATCGAGGTGTCACTTGGACGGAACATATTCACTCGTGTTTTTTTCTTTTTAATTATTAAATTGTTAAAGTTTTTTAAAATAAAACCATTTATTTTTTTACAGTATTTTTAATGTAAATAGCCTTATATTGGATTTTTTTTTTCTTTTATTTTTTCCGATAAATTTTATACATGTATTAATTTTTATTATAAATTAATTTTAATAAATAAATTTATTAAAAACAACTGAGTAAATAATTCGTATTAAATATCTTAATCTACATTATTTTTTTAATTTTTTTAATTTTTTTATTATTGTTAATAATATTTTTTTTATTTATATAAATATCATCTGTTTATTTTATTAAATGTTTGCATAAATATTTTATTTATATTTTAAATATTTTTAAAAAATAGCATGCATACACTTAGGTTTTTTTTTACAAAAAAAAAAAGATTTACTATCAAATAGCTATTCTTATCTTATTTCATGTTAGCTTTTCTAAACTTTTTTTCTTCTCCATAGATATATCTAAACCTACTACACAATAAAAATTTGTCTACACAATAATTGCAATAATTTAATGTATTCTTGAACCATGAATAGAAACCACGCACGTCGTTTAAGGCTAAGTAACAATTAAGAGATCGACAATTAACGACACACAGAGATAGATTAACTTATAAGTTCCTAAATGATGCATGCACGCAAAGATTAGGTTTATTTATTGCCTATTGAAGAATTCCTGTCCGACAAACTTTTCTACACAAGGACGGTGCAAGTTCAACGGATCAGTCCACATGATTGAGCCGCGTTCAATATACAGAAATCAAGAAATTCTTGGCGTCTACAGTTTCAATTTTCTTAATTAAGTCCAATATTCCAACTCATCCATAAACGCATTCATCAATCCGACGAAAAAAATTCTGGTGTTCCTATTATAATAAAAATTAAATGAGCGATTTTAATTTTTAAAAGGGTCAGTGTTTTTCTCAAGAAAGAGAGAGAAAAAAAAAATTATTATTATTATTACCAAACCATATGCGTTTTGGTGTAATTCACTTCATTATGTAGGGTGGCTAAACAACCCCACATACATTGTTCGAACAATACAGAGATAGTCTACACTCTAGTGTGTACCATGCACTCCATGGTAGATTGTTTTAATACTAATTAGTATATGTTAATTACAATAATAAATTTGAGTGGTATTTAAGTCTACAATAAAAATAAAATCAATTTAAAATAATAATAAAATCATTATAAAAAAGTTATATTAATTTTATCTTCAAATGTATCAAAATAATCACACCATTTAGAAAAAATCAAGAAGACTAAAAACGTCATTTAGTAATAGACATAACAATTTTTTTCTTGTTAAATTAATAATTTCATCTTGCAACCAAAAATAAAATGATTAAGCTAATTATATATAATTTGCAAAAGATAATTGTACCGTGATAAAAAAAAATCACCTTACCTGGAAATCTAATTCAAATATTTAATGGCTTTGAGGAAATTTAGTAATTATGCTATTATACTATCACTTGAATAGTAATGATCCCAATTGCTTAGTTTCCATTTCCACGGAATCAAATTCCAAAAAAAACGTCAAAATCATTTTTGTGTCGGTAAATAAAATCGTCTTAAAAACTCTCAGAGAACTGAGAAAGATGTAAAACAAATGTGTTAAACATGGTGTAAATCATAACTTAATCCTTATAATTTAAAAAAATTAATCAATTAATACTTGTAGTTACATAAAGTATATACAAATTTGTTTTGAATTGTTTTCATCAATTTCTATTTTTTCTAATTTATTTTTTTACTTCTTAAAAAATAAGTGGATAAAATGGGAGAATTTATTACGAAATAAGGTTTTTTCCTTTAAAAGAAAATTACTAAATCAATTATAATCAATATCAACTAAGGACTCCTTAACTATTTCTGATACTCTAAGGACATAATTTTTGTTAAACTACGAGGACCAAGTTTATAATCAACCGGCTAAAAATGTGGTCTATAAATACTGCCAGACCTGTTTCTTCCGAGCAAGACGACGGACTTCGCAGCCATGGCAGACAGCAGCAGCAGCCTCACAGTCCACCCAAGAAGCGGCTTTTGCAAATTAAACTCTGTTTTCTACAGCAAACGCAAGCCAATCACACTCCCACAAACTGACTTCCTAGACACCACGACCTTCATCTTCTCCCGTCCTCACCACGGCAAAACAGCCTTCATCGACGCAGCAACCGGCCGCCAACTCTCCTTCAAAGACCTATGGAGAGCAGTAGATTCCGTTGCTTCGTGTCTCCAAGACATGGGAATCCGCAAAGGTCAAGTGATCCTCTTACTTTCTCCAAACTCCATTTTCTTCCCCATCGTTTGCCTCTCCGTCATGTGGTTAGGCGCCATAATTACCACCACTAACCCTCTCAACACTCCTCGTGAAATCGCTAAACAAATCGCCAACTCGAAACCTTCACTTGCTTTCACTACTCCCGAGCTCGTTTCCAAACTCACCGAGTCAAGCTCAAACCTACCCATCGTCCTCATAGACGACGAGACAGGTACCTCCATAAAAACAAAAGCCAACATTTTGACAACATTAAGCGAGATGGTAAAAAGGGAACCGAGGGAGAGCCGAGTTAGAGAGCGAGTTAACCAGGACGACCCAGCTACGCTTCTCTACTCTTCAGGCACAACTGGAGAAAGCAAAGGTGTGGTGTCCTCACACAAGAACTTAATCGCGATGGTACAAACAATTGTTGAACGGTTCAGATTAAACGAAGGAAGACACACATTTGTTTGCACGGTCCCGATGTTTCACATCTACGGTTTAGCAGCGTTTGCCACAGGAATTCTGGCATCAGGATCAACGATCATCGTTCTCTCGAAATTCGAAATGGGAGAGATGTTATCAACAATTGAAAAATACCGGGCCACTTATTTACCACTGGTGCCGCCGATTCTTGTAGCGATGATTAATGGGGCTGATCAGATAAAGATGAAGTATGATTTGAGCTCGTTGCAATCGGTTTTATCTGGTGGGGCTCCATTGAGTAAGGAAGTGATTGAAGGGTTTTCGAATAAGTATCCAGGGATCACGATTTTGCAAGGTTATGGTCTGACTGAGTCGACGGCGATTGGCGCCTCGACGGATACGTTGGAGGAGAGTAGGAGGTATGGTACGGCAGGGCTTTTGTCGCCGAATACGGAGGCTAAGATTGTGGACCCGGAGAGTGGTAAAGCTTTGCCGGTGAACCAGACCGGTGAGCTTTGGCTTCGAGCTCCTTCTGTCATGAAAGGTACGCTGCATGCTACTTTCTTCCTTTTCCGCGGTTCTTTGGTCGTTTTTTGTTGTGCTGGAATATGATAATTGACCGCTGGTCAAATAATTATTTAATTTTAATTTTAATTCTCGAAAAAATTATTTCAAAAAAATTAAGTTATGATATATGCTTAAAGTGTTTTCGAATATATTTCTTAACATCTAATTAGAGAAAAACAATATTATTATTGCATGTTTATTAAATCGCTAATGTCTTGCCGGGACAGAACTAGAACTGATCTGCCTGGAAATGAAATGATCTTACATTTTTAGACACGGATGAACATTTTGTTCAATTTCGGAACGCAACCTTAAGTTTTGTTGGGCCGCAAGATTAGATTTAACTCCAAAATCCAATTACTGTGCTGGGTTGTCTACATAGAGAACCCAAACATTTTTCCAAGGGAATAAATAATAAAGTTGTTACAAAGGAAGAGGCAGGAAGGGTCTGGATCATGCTTCCATCTTTACTAGATTTTTAATAGTTTTTGTTTTTGAAATTATTTTTTACTTGAAAAAAATCAAATTATTATTTTTTTAGATTTTTTTTATGTACTAAGTTTAAAAATAAAAAAATCTAAAAAAAATCATTTTAATACAAGAAAAAATATATGTTAACTATATATATACTTGTTCTATAAGAGAAAGATAGATGCAAGAAGGGGAAAAAATCACATCCGAATCTATCAAAAATAATAAAAATATTTTTATCTATTAAAAAATAATTAAGTTCTTATAATTTCCAATCCTCTTTGTTCTCTCCTATTTGTGTAACTCTCTCCTGTTAAATCTGTTAAATCAATATCGGTAGTTACAGCCTAATCACCATAAAATTTCTCATTTAAGAGAACCTCAATATTTTTTTCTCACTTCTTAACTGATGATCTTGAAGTCGGCTTGCTGCTAAGTGAAGGTTATGGATGATATAATAAGACTTTCTATATTTTAGATTATGCCGT